TGTCCTTTTTACTTCATGAACCAATTGAAAATGTGTAAATAGATTTTCAAATCACCTTCCTTCCAAACTCACATCTAAATAGAGAAGAAAATATGTATTTAATTTTATTCTAGTTTAACTTGTCTTGCATACATTTTACTAGTAATCATTTTACACTGCTTCAATAAGTAACTCCTCAAATGAAATAAAATAATAATAATAATAATAATAATAATAATAATAGTAATAGTAATAGTAACGGGATTTTTATAAAAATGTGTATACAAAGCACTGGAGCCTATTTTCTGTTGCAGGTTTATTACTGTTTCCCCTCAAACATTTCCTTCAGACCAGTGCCTGCCTTTATTTTTATCCAGGCAGCTGTTTCTTGGCCTTTAATTACTGACTGACAGTCCTTAAGTTCTCAATGGATTAATAGTTTCTCTAGCAGATAAAGTTAAGTTATTGGGGGAAGTGGAGTGTGGATAATATGTTTGTTTATGTGCATGTAAATATATATTTATGTGTAGATTATAGAAGGGTAACCTGATTTTTTAAACACAATCTAGTTTTTAACAGCAGTCCTCAGACATTTTTCACCTTGGAAACACTGAATTTGAAGGCATTGATACTATCTGATGCTTCTTCCATACAAAAAAATTATAAATCAATATTTGAAAAATATTCTACTATTGTTGTTCTAATTATGCATTTTTACCTTGAAACAACAGTGTTGCAATAGTGACTGTCAGAAGAGACAGTTAAATTGAAACAACAGTGTTGCAATAGTGACTGTCAGAAGAGACAGTTAAATTTTTACTGTAAAATTAAAAAAACCCCAAAACTATTAGACTGGTTCTTATTATTGAGGGACAGTTTTTTTTGACTTGAAAATACTGAAGCAAAATAAGAGAAATGTGAGTGAAGTCTGGTCCATGCAAGATTAACAAAGATCTTCTATTTCCTGAAGGCAACTAGGATGCCAGGTTTTTGTTTAGCTTTGTTTCTTCAAAACTGTGAATCTCCAGCAAAAAAAAATGCCTTAAATGATGACAAGAAATTACTGCTATTCAGAAGAACAAGTTTAACAGATGATTGGACCACCTGTTTATTGTGTTAGGTAGAATTGTATCGTAGACCACTTTAGGTTGGAAAAGACCTTTAATGTCATTGGGTCCAACCATTAATCAAATACTGCAAAGCCTACAACTAAACCATATCCTCAAGTACCCCATCCACACATCTTTTAAAGCCCTCTAGAGAGGATGGCCCAGCCACTTCTTTGTGGAGCTTGTTCCAGTGCTTAAAAACCCATTTTGTAAAGAATTTTTTTCCTACTATCCAATCTTAATGTCTGCTGGGACAACTTGAGGTCAATTCCTTG